CAGCCCCAGCCCTGTACTGTGCATTCAGCACATAGGGCCAGTCTGGCCAGGTGTTACACATAGTATGCGCTACATGTGGCACATGGGACTGGTCTAGGGTGTATAGTGCATGTGGTGCCTGTGCCAGACTGGCCCTGAGCACTGGATCCATCACAGGTGGCCTGTGTGTGGGCCTGATCTGGATTAGCCTCAGATCTAGCATACAGGGTTAGTTCAACACAGGCACCATGTGAAATGCCCAGCTCAGACCAGTCCTGTGCTGTATACAGCCCATATCAGATGGGTTCCACATGGAGCACCTGAGGGTTAGAGCCAGCGCTGGCTGCATGCTGCAGGTAACATTGCAGGCTGAACGATACAGCTCCGCAAGCCGGGTGAAGTCTGTCAGCCATATCTTTGACACCCTGGAATAGAATATTGTGTTTGTTAAAAAATGTTTCCATTCCTCTTCAGATTCTTATGACTATCTGCCATTGGGCCAGAAACTGCCTGTACCACACAGCAATGGTTGAATTTTAAGACCTGTCAAGAATCTGTCAGTGGCCAACAACTTTTATAATCTGTAGGCCAGAACAGGTCGGCCCCAGACTGGCACAGACTGAGTTGGCTTTGGTGCATCAGCAGTTGGGGAAAGCAGGGTGGGGGGCATGGTTTGCCTGTGCCCTCACTAGGGCCAGGCACTGCTGCTGCTGCTTCTCCCAATTTCCCAACCCCCACTCTCTGGCTGGGACATGAGCAGGGTGGATTTGATTTAAATTGCATCAATTTAAATCACTGGTCAGGAAGCCTTGATTTAATCATTGTTTTCTACAAAATGTGCAATCTCGTTCATTGATATCCTTTATTCATTTAACTCAGTGGTTGTCAATCAGGGGCACATGTATCCCTAGGGGTACTTAAAAAGGTTGTAGGGGTATATAGAACAAATGAGAAAAAAAATACTGTTTTATAGAGGTGTACTGGTACATCAGTCCCATGTCAGATCTGCACCAATATAAGGAAAATTGACTGTATCAGCAATCGGCTTTTTTTGGTTAATGTGGCCGATAACATGGCTGATAAATGCCCTGTGCATGCACGCAGCTGCAGTGCAATGTGTAGGTGGCCAGAGGCATAGCTCAGCAGCATGGAGAGCAGCTGGGTCTGGTTGGTAAGTCTGTTGTGAGGGAAGTGGCAGGGGAGAGATTGAGGCCACAGTAGTGAGGGAGGAAGGGGGGCTGGGGCTGGGGCAGGGGCTGGCGCTGCACAGCCAAGGTAGGGCAAGGGACAGACCCATGGTTCGTCTGGGGGACGGCACCTCCTGCTGCTGCTTACACCCCAGGAGGGCATATGGGGGCTGTGTGCCCCTGGATCTGTGCACAGGGCAAGGGCAGGCTGTTGCTGTGGGCTGGAGCCAAGGCAGCACCGGGCTTTTCCCAGCGGGGAGGCTGGACCTGGGGCTGCACTCAGGATGGGCAGCAGTGTGGGGGAGGGAAGGAGCATGGGGGGCAGCTTGAGGCTGCCACAGTGAGGGAGGGAGTAGGGGTGGGGCAGAGGCAGACATGGGATGCAGTCATGGGTGGTTCATGTGGGGAATGTATGTGGGGGGAGCAGTTCCTGCTGTTGAATGCACCCCTGGGGGGAGGCATGGGGGGTATGTGCCCCCTGGATTTTTATGCAGAGCAAGGACAGGCTGTGCACTATGGGCTCAGGGCCAGGAGCTGTGCTGGTCTCTTCCCAGCAGGGGCTAGGTCAGGGCTGTGGCTCAGAGGGCAGGGATGTGGTGGGGTGGGGTGGAGTAGGTGGTGGTGAGCTACGGCCACCCCAAAGTTCGCCATAGGGCCTCCCCCTTCCTCCCCCAACCCCCAGTAGCCTCTCCTCCCAGAGCTGTCACCACCTGTCCTGGCCCCACCAACCCCAAACTCAGCCTCATCCCAGCCCCTGCCAGGAAGAGGCCAGTGCAGCCCCCATGCGTGCCCTTTCCCCACACACACATCAGGGGGTACATCCCCCTGTGCTGGCCCCGGGGAGGTTTGCAGCAGAGAGAGCTGCCCCCCAGATGAGCCACCTGTGGCTGTGTCCCCTGCCCCAGCCTGACTGGGCAGTGTCTGTCCCTGCCTCGGCCCCACTCCCACCCTCACTGTGGAGGTCTGTCATGGCCTCAGCCCCACTCCCACCCTCCACTATGGAGACCCCTCCATGCAGGCTTACTGCCCAGACGCTGCTCTCCAAGCTTCCGGGCTGCATTCCTGGCAGCATGCATGTTGCAGCTGCATGCATGCATGCAGGCACCATTTATCGGTGACATTATCGGCCAGATTGGTCAAAAAAAAGCCAGTTGCCAATAATGTCAATTTTCTTTTTATCTGTGCCAATACAGTATGGACTGATGCATCAGTGCACCTCTAATGGGCATAGCTGGAAGCAGTGGCACAAGTACAACCCGCTGCCTAGCACTGCCACCTGGGGGCTTAGGCAGTATGTTGCCAACCCCTGATCTATGTAATTTGGTGTAAATTACTACATTTCAGATGCCAGAATTGTTGTTCTTCACAAGCATCTTTGAGCCAAGGTCAAGTTGTGCCTGACATAGATGTGGCAATCCCAAGGGAATGTGGTCCTTTAAAGCTCATGAAATTTCACCTTGCCCCTCAACTCAGACACAGAGATGTATGTAATAGTCTGGTTGCATAGTTCAAGGTTTTAAGAGGTACAGCTAAATTTAGGGTTCTAAATTCACATTTTAAATCAGGCCATTGTTCAGGTGTTTAAATTAACACAGGTTAAAATTAAACTCATCCTGTTTGCATCGTTAGCAGCTAACACTTTTTTTATATAATAGAGAATTCTCCTTTTATATCTATTTTAAACAAAATGTTGCTATAGCAGGAGGCTTTCCAAAAGTAAACTGGATATAGCTGAGGAACTGTTGTTAGTTGTGAGAGAGGTGAGCATGCAGAGTGCATTTAGGGACTGACAAGACTTTCTCGTATAAGCTGGGAGTTCTTTTGGAACAGAGGAGGGAAGGGCTTGTGAGTGCGTTTGTCAGTGAAAGTATGATTGAGTCAGTAATGAAAAAGACTAATGTGATCCTAACATGTCAAGCAAGGTATTTCCACTAGAGATAGTGAACTATTAAGGCATTGTACCAAGGTGCTGGTGAGATTGCATCTGAAGTACTGGATACAGGTGACCAAAACTGTACACAAGCAACATTCATTTAAATCAAGGCAAGTTTAAAAATCCTACTAAGATAGCTGGGGAATGTACAGCTTATTTTCTGAGAGGAGACTAAAACAATTTTACGTATTTAGCTTATGGGATGTGATTTCTTACCATGTTGGAGGTAACTGCCAGGAAGAAAAAAAACTATAAAGCTAAAGCTTTATAATTGGCACAAGAACAAATGGGTAAGCTGGCCATGAATATACGCTGGAAATTAAAAGATTTCTAACCATAAAGGAGGGAGGTTCTGAAACAGTCTTTCATTAGATGTAGCAGGAGTTTGAGGGAGAAGGGGGAACGGTTTTAAGATAAACTTGATCAAGGTATGAACAGGACATGTTTGCCTGCAATAGCAATGAGTTGCACTTGATGACGTACGAGACCTGTTTCGGTCCTGTGTTCCTGTGACTTCAAGAATGTCATTATGTATTTTCAGTGAAAAAACTTGAAGCATATTGAAAGCATTAAGAGCAGCCCAAAATAAATTAAGTAGTGTTCAATACTGCAGAAAGGCCCAAAAGAAAGGGAATAGTTGTCTGCCGTCTGTCCATTAACAACATGCTGGTATCCACAATGATCAAGAAGTCCTTGGCAAGAAGGATCAAGAGCTCAGTTTTGCCTGTTTTGAATTTGAAAACTGAGCATTCACAAAGAAATGTCAAAATGGATCAAGATGGTGGTTTGGATGGTGAAAGAGATGTTATTAGTAGAAAATCTTTGTACCACATTTCTAAAGAGTAGGAAATAAAGCAAAAGATGATGGAGGGCTGTGGTTCTGCTCTGCCATTGCTTTCGGTTGTTAAACTCTGGGACGATATGGCTGTTGAGCATTGTGCACATTGCTTTGCAAGGGTTTCTGAGCTGTCTTGCCAAATGCTAAGCGCATTTTAATAAGCATGAATCTTATAGGTAATCAGCTATAAAAACTTCAATTACAAATTGGATTTCATGAGTCTGCTGTCAAAGTGCTCCAGTGCTGCTGCTTTTGCCCAGAGCTTTCCAACAGTTGCAAAGAAAAAACAAGTGTTGTCTCTTAAATTATAGTTATTCAGAAATATTTGGGTAGTAGTGGAGTTCAGAAACATAGTGTTTCACTCTCATTGCTTTACAAATAAATTGCAGGAGCTCAGAGATAAGCAATGGTTCTTGATGGAGAAGGATCCAAAGGATGGTGACATATGGAGGGATATTGGAGGTGAATCATTACAAGTGAAGAACCAGTAGAGGATGTGAATCCTTGATAGAAGAATTTAAATTCAGGAGTTGAGGAGATACTTTTTTTCATTTTTGACAGTTGAAGGCACAACCTGGAGGCTTTATATTTTATCAGAATTATGCTAGTTACAGGGCTTCATGTGAAAAATAGCCTACAAAGAGGATTCTGGGACAGTTCCCTTTAATAAATCGTAGCCATCTCCATCTCCCCTAGCTGGGGGTTACCTTGGTTTCTCATCAAGCATTAATTAACCATCAGATGTGTTGACAACAGCAGCACGCTCTCTGATCTAATCTTTCATTCAGACTGGTTTACTGCTTTGGCAACAGGTATTTGAATGTTTCAAGATTGTCTGACTTCAGTGAATTATGGAGGATGAATAACATAACCAGTGAGAGATGTATTTATCTGCAAGCAGAAATTATCTGAAATACCTCAAATAGAGAGCAGTTGAGGCAGTATTTTGTTACTGCACAGTAAATCTGACAAAACTTGAGTTAGTTTGATATTTATAGTGTCATATTGCTAACAAATATTAGACTATTCATAAAACAAATATTTTTCTCCCATAAATTTATAGGGCAGGAAAACCTCCACCTGGCCTTCATTTGGATGTTGTGAAAGGAGACAAACTTATTGAGGTATGAAAATAGATGCAGTAAGTATTTGATGCATGCTATAGGAAATGTGTATATAGAATTAAATCCCATTGCTTTGCTTCCTCATTCTCTTCCTCTTCACACACCCTTCCTTTTCAACCATAGGTTAATTTTTTTTTATAAGCAGTGATACAGTAACTCCCAAACCTTTTACTACAGCTAGGCAGGCATAAACTTTAAACTGATTTTGCTGAAGCACAGTATTCCTGTTGTGCATGTGCTGTGGATCCCAGTCAGACAGCTGTGCTGTGTGTATGTTAGCTAGAAGGTGATTGGATTTGCTAATTAAAGAAGTATAAAGCTGCAGTGGTTGGGTTGCAGTTACTTCCATAGCGTATTCAGATCCTAAAGAAACAAACTACAGTGACGACAAAACCTACACATGCATCTAAATTTAAAAAAAGTAATGAAATTATTTACAAAAAAGAAAAATTACTTTATGTAGATCCTTGTTTGCCAGATTTAAATGGCTTGTACCAGACTAAATAGTTGTTTTCTTTCTTGTTTAAGGCTGGGGAGCCCAAATTTAAAATCCAAATGATAGCATTAAAAAGACTTATTCTGGCTGCTTGTTGCTGGGATGTGTTACTTTGGTTTGCTTTTCAATTTTATTTTACAATAAAGATGATTTTTTTTTACCTTGTTCATCAATGAGAGCAAAAGATTACAAAATAGAGAGAAACAAAGTAATAATGATAAAAAAGAAGTCCAGCATTAAAAAATAAATATGAGACTAGGTGAAGATGAGCCAAAGATGCTGAGAGTATCTAGTCCAGTGGCTCTCAATCTTTTTAAATTCAGGGACCTCCCCCTAGCTTTTCTAAATTTAGTGGCACCCTAGTTGAGAACAAATATTGTACTGACTCAGCTTACCTTTTCCTGGGTACTGTAATAACTGCTGCTGCCAGGTGAAAGTACCCCATGCACGTCCTGTGGAGTGCAGAGCCTGGCCAGGAAGCAGCTACAGTAGGAGCAGGCACTCCTGCCTGCATTGTTTATTTGATAAACCTGATGCAGGCAGCCTGCTTCTGCCGCAGTATTTCCTGGTCAGACTCCACACAAGGTGCAGTGGGCACTTTCACCTGGTTTTGCTGGTGCTGGCACCACAGCACCCTTGCAAGGGGCTTGCAGCACGCCAGAGTACAGCATTGCCCTGGTACAGAACCACTGCTTTAGTCACAGGTTTGTAAGTGTATCATGTTGCAGGAACGTAAGCCAGGCTGGAAGAAGCACCCTGTATGAATGCTGTTCCTTACTGGAAAGGTTCCCAACCACTGGACCACAAAGGCATGGCTGCTGGTCCTCAGTATGCCAGTCACTTCTCGTCTACAGTTTGCTGGTCCACAGTATAAAAAAG